GGAGTAGATTCTTATTATTAGTATGTATTATATTTTATTATTATATTATTATATTATTATTATTATTATTATTCTTATTATTTTATTATTATTATTATATATTATTAGTATATATATTATTATTATTAATATTATTATTATTATTATTATTATTATATTTATTATTATTATTATTATTATTATTATATTATTATTATTATTTTATTATTATTATTCTTAGTATTCTTATTATTATTATATATATTATTATTTATTATTATATTTTATTATTATTCTTATTATTATTATTATTATTATTATTATTATATTATTATTATTATTCTTATTATTATTATTATTATTCTATTATTATTATTATTATTATTATTATTATTATTATTCTTATTATTATTTATTACTATCTGGAAGTTTATCATTACGGTGTAAGTCAATAGAACAGGGTGCATTGTTCTTTCCAGAAGCTTGTCCATCATCAGTGTAACGTAACTGAAATACAGTTTAAGTATGTGCAGAACTTGTCATAAACATTAATAATATAGTTGAACTTTTGTAGATCAAGAAATCACAACAAAATACGGATCTGTCTACCTGGCGTTGACGGATCTTGAAATAACACTAGATAATCAGCAGATGTTCTACCGTCATGTACACTCGTGAAAAATACCGTAAGTGTCTTGTGATCTCAAACTCAGTTTTTCAAAAGGTCGTCTATAATTTGATATGAGTAAAAATGCCAGTGAACGTTTTTAAACCATTCAGAGAAATAGTTCACCTTCAGTTATATCAGTCGTTCCAGCTGAATTGATTATTAAGGCAACAGACGTAATCAGCAATTCGAAAAGTGATTAGTAATAATCTTTATTCACCGAAACAAATAAGTAACGTTTAGTTTTTTTGAATTAATTTCAGAATCATTGAAATTTCTTGTACCGCCGCTTTGACAAATAAATAAAAATATTATAAAAAGTTATTGAAGTAACCGCGTTATCGTTTTGATTTGTGGTCAATTATTTGGAAACTTTTTAGCAGTAAAGTAAATAACAAAGAAATAGTTGTTGCATAAATGAATGTTCAACAGAAAAATCACGAATATTTCAGACGGTGAGCAAACCTATAATGGAAACTAGTCTATGTAAACTCAGTTTGAAGTGAGACGTGTTTTTTATGTAAAATGTACACATGTTAACTTGAGTTCGAAATTAAACTAATTATCTCTCAAAACACTACCGTAATTTCACACAAAAATAGTCCTGCCCCACAACTATGGTCTCAAAGCAGTATATTTTTAAAACATTTGTAAATCATATTATGGCGACACCTATTATTAAGTAAAGAGACTTCATTTCGCTTTGATGCTTAGTATGATATACATCAAGTACAAGGTGTTTGTTTACCTGCAAACTTTCGATGCTGCAGGTGGTAAGCACTTCGATTTTTTAATTATTTTAGTTTAATAATATGGGGTTGTCCAAAATGGACGCAGGAAAGTAAACGCATATTAAAACAAGAAAGATTGATATTCAAATCAAGTTGGGTACTTTATTTTGAAGGTTCATTTATACCATTTATGTATGAAAAATAATATCGCTCAAATGTTCACCACGACTGGATTTACAGACGTCCACGCGATGGTCGAAATTTTCAATGACATTTTGCAACATGGTCGGTTTTATGGCATTTATCGCGGCAATGATGTTGTTTTTGAGTTCTTGGAGGGTGGCTGGTTGTTGACGTAGACTTTGCTTTTCAAATATCCCATAAAAAGAAGTCCAAGGGAGTCAAATCGCACGATCTTGGTGGCCATGGCACATTTCCTCTGGGCGGAATCACGCGATCAGAAGAAGGACTGCAATCGATGGATATTGACGTTGGTTGTGTGGCATGTTGCACCGTCTTGTTGGAAAAAAATAGTCCTCTATCATCACGTGATATCGCTCAGAATTCACGGTAACGGCATCCCCGGCCGCATTTTCGAAAAAGTAAGGTCCGGTGATGCCTTTTGACCACAATGCACACCACACAGTCACTTTTTGAGGATGCATCGGCTGCTCTTGATACTCACGGGGATTTTCGTTCGCCCAGATGCGGCAGTTTTGCTGGTTTACCGTCCCATTCAAAGTGAAATGCGCTTCGCCGCTGAACATGATTTTTGATGAAAAATTGGCATCAATTTGACGGTGTTCAAGGAGCCAATCTGAGAACGTTCGGCGCGAAAAATGGTCGGCCCGACGCAGCTCTAGCGTCAGTTGGATCTTGTAGGCGTGTACATTCAAATCCTTGTGGAGAATGCGGAGCAAAGTGCTTCTCGAAATGCCCAATTCTTGGGATCGACGCGTTGTTGATTGTTTCGGATCGTCTCTCACACTCTCCTTCACAACAGCAATATTTTCCGGTGTGCGAACGCTCCTTGGCCGGCCAGAGCCTGGCAGATTTGCCACAGAACCTCTTGCCTCGAAATTACGCACCAGACGACCGATGGTTGTTTCGTTTGGGCGGTTGTTGCGACCGAAATGTTCATGAAGCGCGCGAAACGTGTTTTTTATTTTTGCACCATTTTTGTAGTGCTCTTGAATAACTTTAATGCGGTCTTCAATCAAATACAACTCCATAGCGATCAATGGTAAACATTCAACTAACAAAATGGCATGTCGGTGACAGAAAACAAAGATGGCGTCTATGTCAAATTGACGTTTACTTTCCTGCGTCCCTATTTATAAGTACTATCTCGATATCCTCGTCAGTCCTGAGAAGCACATGCGTGGACAATCTCCGGCTTTTATGTACGTACGCGTTATTGGGGATCCAAAAATCAGTTTTATTTATTTAGTTTTCAAAATAACATCTAGATAAATCTCAAACAGTTGGTGCAGATATGTGCCAACTAGGACGTAAGTATTATATGGAGGCAATAAAAAAAGTACACAAATGGACTCACGAACCCAACAGTAAAAGTGCTACATATAAATAATCTAAGCAAACATTCATTTTCAATTTTGTTGAAAAAATTAACACACATTTTCAACAGGTTATACAAGTAAAATAAAATCCAATAATTTTAATTATGAAATTCTTTGAAACAATTTCTTTCTTTGCTTACATATAGAAATATACTAAGTGACATATAAATCCGAACACCCAGTTTAAATGGTTTTATTTTAATAAAAGTTGGTGAATGTATTTATCTTACTGTAAATAACAAGTGAAAAAATTTTCAGCCTTATCAGTTGGACATTCCGGTTTTTATACTGCTTTTTTTTAATTCACTAACGCTCTAAAAATGAATGTTTCAGCCGCAGTAAAGAATCAACATTGGCGGATTTTGGTTCTTGACATCCTTTACGATCGGTTACGATGCCTAGAGCAAGGGGCACTGGACGCCGCCGTAAAACAACAGACCGTGAAGATCGCCGCCTAAGATTATTGGCCTTAAGGGACCGTTTCTCCACTACCAGGTCCATTGCATATGAATGGTTTGCAGAACACGGAAGACCTATTGGCATGCGAAGTGTTTACCGACGAATGAGAAGTTTTGGCTTGTTTTCATACCGGCCACACTGGGTCCTCCCTTTAACTCGAGAACACCGACGTAATCGCCTTGAGTGGTGCAGACAACGGTCTCTCTAGGATCAGGAATGGAACAGTATTGTCTTTAGTGACGAGTCTCGATTTTGTTTAGGCATGCACGATGGTCCTGCCAGGGTTAGAAGGCGACGTGGTGAAAGGAGGAATCCACAGTTTTTTGTTGAAAGACATGTTCATTACACTGTTGGAGTTATGGTTTGGGGTGCTATAGCTTATGGTTCCAGGTCACCTTTAATCTTTATCAGAGGTAACATGAACGCGCAGCGTTATATCCACGAAGTTCTAGAACCCCATCTTTTACCCTATCTTGACACCCTGGCAGATCCAACTTTCCAACAAGATAATGCCCGAACTCATGTTGCAAGAGTCACAATAGACTTCTTTCAACATAATGATGTCACATTGTTGCCATGGCCACCAAGATCTCCCGACTTATCCCCAATTGAGCACGTGTGGGATATGATGGGTAGGAGATTGCTCAATTTGCAACGTCCTCCTCAGACTCTAGAAGCACTTCGAGAGGCGTTGGTGGTTGCCTGGAATGAGATACCACAGGTGGACATTGACTACCTGATCAGAAGCATGCCTAGGCGCGTTGGAGAATGCGTAGCACAGCAGGGTGCATCCACACATTATTAAAGGTCAAAGGGCTTTAAAGCAGTGCAATCATTTTGAAATTTTTATCATTTACTTATTATGCTTCATTAAGTACTTGTACAAAATTGTGTTAAAATAAAACCATTTAAACTGGGTGTTCGGATTTATATGTCACTTAGTATATATTGCAAACTGTACACCTAATTCGAGATCTGTGAGTACAACCTGCATTTCTACATCGAGGAGCTGAAGGAACATCTAGTGCTTCCGGTAAGTGCAAAGCTCCATGTGTTCGCCGCTCTTGAGTAGGCACAGCTACTGTGCCTGGACGTCCTCTTGGCTTTTTTGAAGGTGGAGCCACGTACTGTACACACTGTACTTACACAGCTTGCACGCTCGTTTCGATTGACCGTGTTCACTTGTTGATGGTATGATTAAAACTGAACAAACTATCGATCCGGCAGAGTTCAAGTTACGCGTTACCGTTTTGAATACTAGACGGCAGCTTTTTGTTTATCAAAAAATATTCTGCTGGCAAATGCGCGTTTGTAAATCACATTTGATTTTTTTACACATACGTTATCACAAGGACCAACCAGGATATGCAACTAGTTACTTGTTGAGTTTCTCGTGTTTTTTCTTTTCGAGCAAAAAAAGATCAAAAAATTACATTTTGATTTCAACTATGGTCCAACCTTTTTTTGGATCATAGTCATGCTTATGAATGGGTTATATCCAGTTAACCTGTGAAAGGGTATGGACCATAGTTGCAAACAAAATTCTTGTTTATAGACTTTATTACCATGTTTATACCTTTTATTATGACGAACTATTTTGTTTCAGAAAAGTACAAGATACCTCGTAGTACGGTAATACTGAAGCTAAAGGCTCATCGTAATAGCAACGTACATGTTACAGGTCGTAAGTTTTTTTCTGCAGAAGAAGAAAAATCATTCGTCGATAACGTTGTTCTACTGTGCGATTATGGATTTCCCCTAACTTTGTTTGATCCGAGGTGTGTTGTGACGACAGCCGTGGTACCACATTAAATGCATTCAAGAACAATTTCCCTGAAAGGCGTTGGGCCGATTGCTTTTTAAAGCGCCATAAAAAGGACTTTCTCAAAGATTCTGCAGCAATATCAAAAGAGTTCGTGCAGCGGTCAATGCAGAAATAATAAATAACTTCTTCGAGCATTTGGCAACTGAAATTAAAGATGTCCCCCCAGACTGTATCTATAATTATGGTGAAACAAACTTGGTCGATGACCCTAGAAAAAGAGTTCCTTCAAAACGTGGGTGCAAATATTCAGAAGCTAATAAAAACTCGACCAAAGCAGTTGTAAGTCTTATGGTATGTGGAAATGCTGCTGGAGAAGTCTTGCCGCCCTATGTCAATTACAAAGCGGAAAAAATGAGGGACATCTGGACAACAGGTGGTCCCCCAAATTCCCGATATAACCGTTCAAAATCTGGGTGTTTCTACCGACTTTAGAAAGCAGAACCGAAGGAAAATTCTTATCGGAGACAACTTAAGTTCTCATATAAGTGTAAAGGTCCTAACGGCCTGCGAAGAGAATAATATCGCATTCATTCCTCTTCTTCCTAACTCAACACATCTTACACAGCCGTTGGAATGTTGCATTCTTCAGACCTTTCAAGTGTCATTGGAGGCAAATTTTGGATTCCTGGAAAGCTATACCAGACGGTCAGAGAATGCCAACCACACCAAAGGATGTGTTTCCCTATCTTTTGAATAAGCTAAAAAATTTAAAGACAGGTTTTTGAGAACCGGCATGTTTCCCCTTTGTGCAACTAAAGTGTTAGACCAATTACCAGGTTATACTTGTCCTGCCGTCGACAAGAATACTCCCGTGCATGTTTCGGATGCCTTTAAACATATATTGGAAATAAAAGAAAAACAGCCGCTGACGAAGCTGGAGAAAAAAAGAAAGAAACAACTTGATGTAGTAGCAGGAAAAAACATTTCTGCTGATGAAGTAAAGACCTTACTTTTGCTTAGTGGTAGTAGATAGCCCAATCAGAGACGAAGAGGAAATAGAGAATATGCTTTTACCTTCTGGAGAAGTCATCAAGAAAAAGAGACCGATAATACACAGTTCAAGCAGCGATGAAGAGGAAGTTAGTACTAAGTTTTCTTTGGCTTCTAGTTCTTCACGGAAGAAGAAAAATCTGAAAATACTACAGGCGCAAACATCATAAGCTTCGAGAGTTCTCTACCCGAAAAAGATGATTTTGTTTCAGTTGAGTACGATGGTGATTACTGGCCGGGCAGGTGGTTACAAGTAGAAAGTGAGGGAGCTTTTATAAAATGCATGGCAAAATGTGGAAAACTGTGGAGATGGCCAGAAAAGGAGGACTGCATATTTTATGCCAAAAACGAAATTAAGCTTTCCGTAAATGCTCCAAACCAAGTTTCAACAAAACGTCATCCTTTCAGTGTCCCTGCTCTGAGCTTGCTTAATTAGGCAGAACAGTTTTCGTTTTGTTTATTTTAATTTTTTAACTTACTTTTCACTTCGATAAGCTGTGCTACAAAAGCATAATTAGTATTAATCTTACATTTGTATTATTTATTACCATAGGAGTTGCACCTATTGAGAGACTATTTTTATATAAATATGAAAAATAAATGAGTTTTGAAGTTTTTGTGAGTCAAATATTTTTTTTCAAGTATAATTTTCATTTCTTGACACTATTGTTAGGTAATATGCTTCCAACAATAGTTATCTATCGACTTATTGCAATAAAATCCTTATGGATCATAGATGTGTACAAAGTCCACAACTATGGTCCAACATTTAACAAAAGAATTGTTAAACAAACTATATTTTGAAAAAAAACAAAACATATCAACGAACTTCTTAAAACCTTTTAAGTCTTGCTACTCCATAAGAATGTAAGTCAGGTTGTAAGTATCACGTGTATTCCAAAAAATCACTAAAAATTGGACCATTCCTGTGTGAAATTAGGGTACTTTTATTGCGCATCTATATTGTATTTTTCCTGACACAGTTTACTTCATCTATCCACTCTTGTGATGAAAATTGACTTTTATTTGGATCAAAGCAACTCAAAGCAAATGTAAATGGTTCGCTTACCTCGGATTTTACTATGGTTGGTACTGTACGGAGAGTACTTACAGTAGATGTGTCTCCTTGGATGGACTAGGGGGGCTTTCAAAATAATGTCTGTTCAGCAACACCGATCACAATGAATCGCTGCCATTTTGTTCTTCACTTCCAGTTAACGCTACACTAGACCCAGCAACTCTCGCACTATTTTCAGTTTCCGGCATTTTTCAGCGAAAACTAAACTCTTTCAATAATTGTCCATCCACAACAGTGTTTTCTTTTTGTATTTATCGTCGGTAAAACCAATCCAAAATAAGAACAATGTCACAGTCTTTGGCACGCACGATATCACCCACTCCTGATGTTAGCTTGATGTCGAGATTAAACTAATTTTGACTACTTTTATTGCATACAAACAATTCAGATCGGATGACCGACCGCTGCAAAAACCAAAACAAAAACTGGTTCAGGCGTCCAATGTTTTCATCAACACCACTAATATAAGCGCGAGCAGACTGGATCCGATACATTTATCAGGTGAGACAAAATATTATACTAAGTGACATATAAATCCGAACACCCAGTTTAAATGGTTTTATTTTAATAAAATTTTGTATACGTACTTAATGAAGGATAATAAGTAAATGATAAAAATTTCAAAATGATTGCACTGCTTGAAAGCCCTTTGACCTTTAATAATGTGTGGATGCACCCTGATGTGCTACGCATTCTCCAACGCGCCTAGGCATGCTTTTGATCAGGTGGTCAATGTCCTCCTGTGGTATCTCATTCCAGGCAACCACCAACTCCTCTCGAAGTGCTTCTAGAGTCTGAGGAGGACGTTGCAAATTGAGCAATCTCCTACCCATCATATCCCACACGCGCTCAATTGGGGATAAGTCGGGAGATCTTGGTGGCCATGGTAACAATGTGACATCATTATGTTGAAAGAAGTCTATTGTGACTCTTGCAACATGTGGTCGGGCATTATCTTGTTGGAAAGCTGGATCTGCCAGGGTGTCAAGATAGGGTAAAAGATGGGGTTCTAGAACTTCGTGGATATAATGCTGCACGTTCATGTTACCTCTGATGAAGATTAAAGGTGACCTGGAAGCATAAGCTATAGCACCCCAAACCATAACTCCAACAGTGTGATGAACATGTCTTTCAACCCAAAACTGTGGATTCCTCCTTTCACCACGTCGCCTTCTAACCCTGGCACGACCATCGTGCATGGCCAAACAAAATCGAGACACGTCACTAAAGACAATACTGTTCCATTCCTGATCCCAGAGTGACCGTTGTCTGCATCACTCCTGGCGATTACGTCGGTGTTCTCGAGTTAAAGGGAGGACCCAGTGTGCCGGGTATGAAAACAAGCCAAAACATCTCATTCGTCGGTAAAAA